TTTTTTTTTTTTTGGTACCATGGCTCGAATTTGGGTTCTTGCGCTTGTGAAGCAGGCGGCAGAACCACTGAGCTAAATCGCCGGTCTGCATGTGCCATAGGCCCTGGGGTTAATCCCTAGTACCAGAAAATAAATTTTTTAAAAAAGGATACACATCAGAAAATGTGTGTAAGGTGTGGTAGCACATTAAGGGCTGGGGGTGTAGCTCAGTGTGAAGTCCTTGAGTGTGATCCCCAGCGCTGCTTGTGGAAAAAAAAGAATAGCAACTATAATATTTAAATGTCAGTACACAGCTATAGGTAAATATGAATGGCATTTTCCCCCAACACCCCTGGCTCCACTAACATGAGTTTTAAAATTGTTATAGTCATGATTTTGTAATCACAAGGGATGTATGAAAGTTACAAGGTTCCCTGTGCAATTTCATTAGATGTTAAGAGTTAGAAGGAGTTAGTAGTTAGAAATTCTGCTGTTTAGCACTTAAAAGGCTAAGGCAGGAGAATCACCCCAAGTTCGAGGCCAGCCTGGAATACACAGTGAGCTCAAGGCCAGCCTGAATTACAGAGTTTGACCCTGTCTTGAAACAAAAAAACCAGAAAGTCCTGCTATTGTTTTAACAGGCAACCAAAGCAAACATTTAATTTTTACCTCCTTCTTGTTCAGGGTGAAACAGATGACTTTTGTTGAAGAACCAGCTGTCAGATCCAGACATAAAGGTAATTTTTGTTTGACAGGTAACAAAGCAGAGTTACTGGCACTTTGTACAAGGCACTGTTTGCGCGTTAGGTCCTATTCTGTCCTGTACAGCTTGCTTTCTCCAAGGTTTCAGATTTTAACCCAGTGATTCCCAACCAGGGGCAGTTTGACTCCTTTGGGGTTGATTGGCAGTGACTGGAAACATTTTTGTTGTCACAACTGGGAGGGAGGGGTGCTGCTGGCATTTAGTGGGTGGATGATAGGGTTGTTGGAAAAGCAAGAAAGCGATGGAAAGTTTTTTCAACATGGAGATTTAAAATAAATTTTAAGTAAACGTAAAAATTTTTAAAAAGCAGATTCAGTGAGATTATATACCAGAATCACTTAGAATAGCTTCTGACCCAAAGTAAGGACTTTATAACTGTTAGTTGTTACTTTGTTTTTGTTGATAATCTGCATGTCTTTATTTCTTTTTCTTTTTTTAGATAGGGTCTTGCTATGTAGTTCAGGTTGGACTTAAACTCATTATGTAGCTTCTGCTGGCCTCAGACAGCTGTCCTCCTGTCTCAACCTCCTGAGTGCTGGGATCACAGGCGTGGGCCATCAAGCCTGTCTACTTCCTCGTTTCTTTTAAATTTGAGTTCACTGTCATTATGACTGCTGTAATTAGCCTGACAAAGGTTATCCGTGATTCCTTACATGCTGATTTCAGTGGAATTTTTGTGTGTGTGGTACAGGGATTGAACTCATATCTATTCATTCACCAAATCTTTTGTGGGGGTGTCTTTTAAGTGTTTTGTGTTGCTGATGCTCTTGTCTGGATTCTTCCAATAATTCTTTAGTGGTCTCTAGGTTCTGTCCTGCTCTGGATTTATCCCCAAAGTATAACCTGACCCATCTTGCTGGAATACAAGTCTAGACATGTCTTTCTCTTACTAAAAGCACTTTGTGTCTGTGGAAGAATGAAGAGTTAAACTTCTAAGCACAGTTTACAACATATTTTCTATGTTGATTTCCACTAGATAATTGTATTTCCTGAATTTGCCACATTTTTTGGTTTTGGTTTTGGTTTTGTTACTGGGGATTGAACTCAGGCCCTTGCGTTTGCAAGGCAAGTGTAGCACCGCTGAGCTAAATCCTGGCCCAGGAAACAGGGTTTTGATATGTAGTTTAGGCTGGCCTTGACCTCACTGTGTAGCTCAGGCTGGCCTCGAACTTGCAGCGATCCTTCTGCCTCAGCCTCCTGAGTGTTGGGATTACAGGTATGTACTACCATGCCTGGCCCACCTTTTGCCCAGTTCATCATTTTGCCTTTGCATGTGACTTTTCTCTGTAGACGAGGTCTGTATCCACTTTGTTTGAGCAGGGTCTCTAGCTACTTTGCTTCCCTCCCTTACTAGCAGTGTGACCAAGGGCTGGCTCGTTCTTTCAGCTATTGGTAGTAGTATTCAAAGTCTTTGTACTGAGCTACATCCCTGTCTCCTCCTCCCCCCACTCATACACCTTTTTAAATTTGGAGACCAGACTGAAACTTGCAATCCTATTATTAACATCGTTACTATAATCTACAAAAGTACTCTTTCACACCTACTTGCAGTGTCCACTTCAGTGAAGATTTGTCTTAAGCTCATAGTGCTGTGTTCATTCAGTCCATTGCCCACACTGCTGGCAGATCTTTCTTTTGTTTGTCTTTTGAGGCAAGGTTTTGCTATGTAATTCAGACTGGCCTTGAACTCACTGTGGTCCTCCTGCCTCAGCCTCCCAAGTGCTATGGTTGCAGACATACGCAATGGTGTCCGAAAGATCTTTCTTAAATTATGTATCTGGCTCACAAGATCCTCTGTTGCTCTCTGTGCTTCTTTGCTCACAATATTTATGTCTTGACTTACTCACCTTACACTCTAGGCCACTGAGGGTCAACCTTTTAGAGAGAAGTGCCTAAACTGCAACCGAAAACCCACTTATTTATTGCAAATATACCTAAATGCTGAGGTTTTAGTTTTTAAAAAAACAACACATTAACATCTTCTGGTTTAAAAGAAAAACAGATACCACACACGCCATACGTAGGTTTTGCACCACAACTGTAGGCATCCCGAACTACTTTCTGTTTTCACAAACACAAGTGTGCTTTTTCCTCTGTAAGGAATGTAACCCCCAGAAAATACTGTTACTATTGAAAGGCAGCTGAGGCATCACTTCCTCTTTAAAGCTGTCCCTGACTCTCCCCTTCCTTCAGGTACAAAGACTAATTTCTTTGTGTTCCACCAAAGTTTATGGCAGCAGATTCTTGGCATACTAAGACTCATACTGGGTACTGGGTGTGTGTCTGCTTCAGAGGAGTGTTGCAATTAGTTTGCTCCTAACAACAATTCACTACCAAAGCATCAGAGTCTATGACTGGTTTACTTTATCATGGGGTTATTTTTTTTCCTCTCCAGCCCTTGTACCTTTTTTAAGTGGAAAAAGAATTGGTTGCATTTTACTCGGTTTTTTTTTTTTTTTGAGAAAGGGTCTCACTATATAGTTGAGACTGACCTGGGACTCACTATGTAGCCCAGGCTGGTCTCGAGCTCACAGTGATCCTCCTGCCTCAGCCTCCACGCCCGGCTCTCATTGTTATTTTTTGTTGTTGTTGTTGTTATTGTTTTGTTGGTACCAGGGATCGAACGCCACTCCTTGCACTTGTGAGGCAGGCGATACAAGTCTCTTCTGTGCCCTAGGTCTCAAGAGCTGCTATTAGTGTTATTCTCCCCCACTCCTTCCCTTTTTGTGGTACTACGGATTGAATCCAGGGCCTTTGTATTTGTATCTCTTCATTTTTTATTTTGAGACAGGGTCTTGTTAAGTTGTCCAGGTTGGGCTTGAACTTGCAGTCCTCCTGCTTCTATCTCCTAGAGTGCTGGGGTTACAGGTGTTTGCCATTACATCAGGCTTAATGTTATTCTTAGTGGTTGTGGGCATTATGAAGTTAACAGTGCAAATGAATTATGACTTATTTCATTTTCCGGCTGTTTACTTGGGGTTTCCTCAGAAAACCATCAAGCCTGTAGAAGTCTATTGTATAGATAACATGGAAAGCAGCAATTAGTTAGATGAAGGTGGGGCAAAGGTGGCACCTCTTCTCTACATGGAGCAAGGCATTGTGGAGAGGAGGTGGAACATAGCCTTGATCTGGTAGGAAGGTGTGAACCTGGCCCTTTAATAGTCTTTTGGTTGGGCAAGTTGTTTATTAATCTCTCTCAATGTCAGATTCCTCTACTCTAAAATGAGAATAACTAGTCATATGCCAGAGTTTTTTGGATTAGAAAAAGATACACTGGGCATGGTGGCTCATGCCTGTAATCCCAGCACTCCGGAGGCTGAGGCAGTAGGATCACTGCAAATTCAAGGCCAGCCTCAGGTACATAGTGAGTTCGAGGCCTATTTTGAGACCGTATCGCAAAACAAAACAAAAACAGTTTAAAACACTGCTTCACATGTGGTATGTTCTCACTAAATAGTACTCTTTCACAACCTTTTGTTTTTGGTGTAACACTAGATTGCTTTTATTTGCCTCTTTCCCTTACTTGTCTTACTCAGCATTAACCGTATTCTTTCACAAACTGGACTTTTTCCTTATAATTTTTTCCTCTGTGTGTGTTATATTTGCATCGATATAAATGATGTCTTTTGGGGGCTGGGGTGTAGTTAGTTTATGTCGCAAGACTCTCAGTTTGATCCTAGTAACACCACCCAAAGATGTTTCATTTTACGCTTATGATAATATATTTTATACAGGGCTTTTTTTAAAAAGCAGTTTTTCTCATGTCACTTAAAATTTTTAAAACAGTGATCTTATCAGAAAAATATTTCATGGTGGAATGGAAACAGTAATAGTATTTTGTGTTGTTGGGAATCGAACCCAGGACCTCATGAATGCTAGGTAGACACTATCATTGAGCTACATCCTCTGTCCTAGAGCCATTATTTATGCAAACATATCCTAATGTGTTTAAATCAGCTGCAGGTTGGGTTTAGGAGAACTTTAGTTCACTAGTCAGGTGTCTTGAATATAAAGAAAACGTAGACAGTTATGGCTCCTCTGAACTTCTGGTATTTGAATATGCTAAAATTCTGCAGTTTAAAAAGTTCCAGGGAGGGGTAGGGGGCAGATTTAGCTCCATGGCACCATGCTTACCTTGCAAGTGTCAGATGGGTGTGGAGGTGCGTGCCTGTGATCTCAGCACTCTAGGAAGCTGAGGCAGGAGGATCCTCATAGCTAATCTGAGCCATTTAGGAATTTAGTGAGAATTGTCTCAAAATAAAAAAGGGCTGGGATGTAGCTCAGTGTGTAGGACCAAGGTTTGATCCCTTAGTACCAAACAAACAAGTCCTGATGTTATTAGGTTATCTTTCTTTAAAACAGAAAAGTTTCTCATGACATGTTTGGTACTCAATTTTTACATAATTGCAAGTTTATTTTTCCCACCTAATTTAAATATTATTGCTGGGGCTATATAAATATATATAAATATATATATATATGAATATTATCATTGCTGGGGCTGGAAATCTGAGTTTAAGCCTGCTAGGCAAGGCAAGTTATCTACAACTGAGGTACATATGTACTCTTCTAATATATATAATTTCTTTTTTTTGAAACGGGGTCTTGCTTTGTAATGTAGACTGGCCTTTAACTCCCTAGGGCTGAGATTCTAGGCGTGCACCACTCTACCAGGTTTAAATTTCTTTTAAATTTTAAGGCAGTGTTTTGCTAAGTTGCCCAAGCTGGCCCCGATTTTGTGATTCTCCTGCCCCAGTCTCCCAAGTACCTCAGGTTATTCACCTTTGCCACTACCCCCAACGGATGATATATTATTTTCTGTGACTTCAGAGGATATTTTGATTTTGAAAGTTCTTCTCTGTATTTAATTAAAGGATGACCAGATCCTTAACTTGCTGCTAGAATTCCGCACTTCTATCACATACTTGACGCAAGACTTTGAGCACCTTATCAGCATTTTGTTGGTAAGTTCTTTATTTCCACGACTAGGAGGTGGCTCTGTACTTTGGAAATAGTTTACATCAGTGAAATGTTCTTCTTCTCCCGACTCTAGAGGTTGCCTTGGTTGAACAGAAGTCAAACAGTGGTGGAGGAGTATTTGGCTTTTCTTGGTAATCTGGTGTCAGCACAGACTGTCTTCCTTAGACTCTGTCTCAGCATGATTGCTTCTCATTTTGTACCTCGTGAGTGGTTACTCTTTGACTTGTTTTTTTTCCCTTCTGTCTCCAACCTTCCCCTTTTTCCTCCCTTTCCGCTCTTCTTTTGTTGTTGTAAGGGAAAAAGGTGTGTTTTGGCTCACTTTTCGGGTCCCAGGTCAAGGACCTGCACCTGGTGATAGCTGCCTTGCTGGCAGAGTGCTGAGGCAGCACCCGATGTCACCGGCAAGAAGTGGGAGTGCATGTGGTGTTTGGGGGTTTTGTTTTTTAAATTTCTTTATTCAGAGAAGTTGGTCAGTTTGGAGATTTTGCTAAATAGAAGGTTCTGGGATGCATGTTGGCATTCTGGTAGATATCTGTCCCCGAGGGAGGTAACTAGATTCATCTGTAGCTAATTTAAATTTATTATTAATTCTTAATGGATTCCAGTTTGCTGTATTGAACCTCTGACAGTCTTAGAACTTATCTAGGAAAATGTATCTTCTTAAAAAATATATCAAGTTGTACTCCCCACCCCCAGCAATATAATCATTCTACTGAATTTGAACTGAAAAAACTGCTTTTTTGTGTGTAATTGCTCATTGTTCAGAAAAATAACATATTTTTCCCCCCAAAAGCTCGAGTGATCACTAAGGAAGGTGACATAGATGTTTCAGATTCGGATGATGAAGATGATAGTAAGTATAAAAGAATTAAAGCATAGCTATAAGGCCTCCTATATCTAGAGAATATGGGCTGAATAATAAAACATACTGACTTCTGGTTCAGTAAATAGATGGCAACAGATGTAGCTTTTGGTAAAGTCTTTGTGATACACAGTTGCACTAAATGTGTTACTAAGATAATGAGTCCATTTTGTCTTCCTTGATAGTTGTAGAGAAAAATCTTAAAATATTTCTTTTTTTAATCTTAAAATATTTATCTGAGAAACTGCCCAGTTTTGCTTAGCAAGTGTTTTTAGCTTCCAACATAATGATTTTTCAGTTTTCAATTTTGTTTTGATGTTCATACTCTCTGAACTTTCTCCTTACAGATCTTCCTGCACTTTTTGACACATGTCATAGAGCATTGCAAATAATAGCAAGATATGTCCCATCGTGAGTATACTTTTGTTACTTTGAATTATGTTGTGTTTTTCTTAAGAAAATTCTGGGGTTGGGGCTGTGAGAGTGCTTGCTTAGTATGTGCAAAAAGCCCTGGATTCAATCTCTAGCACTGCAAAAATATATATATATATATTAGTAGAAAATTATAAAATGGTCATAGCATCAAAACTTGCCTTATATGCTGTGTTTTAGCAGTATATGGTTGAAACATCAAGTTTTACTAAAAATGGTGTTTCTATTTTCTATTCATTCTTTCATTATTTTTTATACGTGGATTCTCCCCGCTTCTGTATAGTGGTTAGAATTTTGCTTTCATCTTCAACAGATATGATATCCAAATATTTTCACTGAGAAACCCCATATGAATTTGTGTCATGCCATATGAATAAAAATTGCAGTTCTAAGAAAAGCTTTGCAGGTTTGTGAGTTTCTTTGGAGGGGTGGACTTCTAGTTCCCTCTGTAGGTTTATATGTCAATTTAAAAAAAACCCACATTGATGATCTTTTCCCTCTTTTTAAAAATCATGTATGTATGGTGGGAAATGCTTAGCTTTTAAACAAAAGTTGTGTTAAATTTTTGCAGAAGGACCCCCCCCCTTTGATTTGCTGTTAGTATCAAAGTTAGTAACACTTATTTTTCTTTAAGCTGCTATAGATGTTCTCTGAAACTGTACATTTACTTTTACTTGCTTGCGGTAGGGATTCTGGTTTGCCTCCTGTACCTATCCATGTTTGCTCTTAGAATGGAAATAATATCTTCCTAGGAAATCCAGTTAATAAGGATTTTTTTTTTAATAGGACACCGTGGTTTCTTATGCCAATACTGGTAGAAAAGTTTCCGTTTGTTAGAAAATCAGAAAGAACATTGGTAAGAAATTTTTTAATTGGGAAAGTAATGGAAAGGTTGTTTTGTGATTTCATTTCAAATGGGCTTGGTCTTTTTTTGCTTTTTTTCTTTTTTTGGTAGTGGGGATTGAACTTAGGACCTTGTGCTTGCGAGGCAGGCAGTGGAACCATTGAGCTAAATCCCCGGCCCTGGCTGTTTGTTATGTGTTACATAGGCACACAGCAAGCACCTTCTGAAGCTGATTTGGAGCAATATAAAAAAGCTTTAAGAGATGCAGGATGTAGCCATAACCCTTTATAATGTATCAAACAGTGGAAGGCTTTGACTGAGATGGCCTTGGCTCCTACCAGCTATGGCAACACCACAGCTAAACCAGTGGGTCTCTTATCACGAGTTGTGAATACAGGATCATAGTTTGTGACGGGAAGAGTGAAGAACCTCATATTGAAACAGCAGAATCTCCCTTTTACTCATATTTCAGACAGTCTCACAGAGATGATGTCAAACCTGAAACTGATGACTGGATCTCAAAATTATGCCATGAGGCAGTGACAGCTCAATTTGAAGAAACAAAAATCCATTCCAGCCGGGCGTGGTGGCGCATGCCTGTAATCCCAGCACTGGGGAGGCTGAGGCAGGAGGATCCCTGTGAGTTCGAGACCAGCCTGGGCTACGAAGTGAGTTCCAGGTCAGTCTCAACTACAGTGACACCCTGTCTCAATAACCAAAAAAAAAAAAAAATCTATTCCAAGAGGCAATTGCTTTTGTGGTGGGAGGAGGCGTCTACATTGAGTATCAAAATCTTGTTGGGGCTGGGGATTTAGCTCAGTGGCACCCCGCCTGCCTCGCAAACACAAGGTCTACACTAAAGGGAAGCAAGGCAAACGCAATTTATATGGCTGCAGTGATCAGCTTTGCAGTGCTACACAATTTGTGAAAGCCGTCACAGCTTGCACAGAGCACAGAACCTAAATATGAGCATCTGCTTGGAACTTGGGTAAATGTAAAAAGTCAAAGGAGCCAGGTATTTTCCCTCCATCATAGTGGTCTAATAGGGAAACTCAGATTTATTAATTTTTAAGGAAATTCTATATTTAATATAATGTATACTGGTCGAAAGAATAAAGCATTTCAGAAATATTTTTAAAATGGCTCAGTAGTAGGCTTTGCAGCATGGTCCTTGGTGTAACACGTTTAATTTAGAGAATCTCTGCTTGTGCCAGGTGCTGGGGTGTGCTGGGCAAACCAGTACGCTGCTTGTTCTCACGAAATAGCCTAGTCACTTTGCCATGAAAAAAAGCCAAAGTCTTCATCTATGTGCTTTGCTAAGATTTAATGAAGAGGCTCGTTATTTGGCCTAACAAGACTTGAATCTGGTTGACCCTGCTATTGTTTTTCTCTTTAAAAAATAAGACATGTTGGGCCAGGGATTTTTAGCTCAGTGTTGTTGCCGCCTGCCTCGCAAGTGCAAGGTCCCAAGTTTGATCCCCATACCAAACTGATTAGAGAAAATTTGGAAAGTATGAGAAGAAGGATAAGGACAGTTTAAACAGCCACATTCCCACTAGTCAAAAGTCGTTCTTAGCATGTTGATGTGTTTTTCTTATCTGTTAGCATGTGTGTATGTATGACTTTATTGATGGATTATTTAGGTGCTAGGGATCGCACCTAGGGCCTCGTGCATGCTAGGCAAGCATTCTACCCTTAAACCACATCCTTCGTCCTAGATAAATCTGATGGATTTGAGAGAATCACAGTAAACAGTGTTTCATAACCTGCCTCTACGGAATTGTGACTATGCTCTCATAATCTTAAACAGTTTTTTTTTTCCCACTAGTCAAAAGTCGTTCTTAGCATGTTGATGTGTTTTTCTTATCTGTTAGCACGTGTGTGTGTATGACTTTATTGATGGATTATTTAGGTGCTAGGGATCACACCTAGGGCCTTGTGCATGCTAGGCAAGCATTCTACCCTTAAACCACATCCTTAGTCCTAGATAAATCTGATGGATTTGAGAGAATCACAGTAAACAGTGTTTCATAACCCGCCTGTATGGAATTGTGACTATGCTCTCATAATCTTAAACAGTTTTTTTTAATCCCCAGTGTTTGCGGGCTGAGCCCAGGGCCTCATGCTTGCCAGGCAAGTGCTCTACTACCGAACTACATCTCAGACTTATTTTATTTTATGACAGGGTCTCAAGTTGCCCAGGCTGGCTTCACACTGGTAATCCTTCTGCCTCAGCTTCCTAAGTACCTGGGGTTATGTCTTATTCCCCTATCCTAGCCTAAAGTATTTTTGTTTGTTTGCTTTTTGTTTTGTTTTGGGTTTTTGTGGTACTGGGGATCAAACTTGGGACCTTGAACTTGTGAGGCAGGCAGTGGAATCACTGAGCTAAATCCCCAGCCCAGCCTAAAGATTTTTGGTTTTTGATCACATGGATTTAAGTGGTCTCTTTTTTCGCTATTCTAAATAATAGCATAATGAAATTCTACACATCTATCTTCAGTTATTTCCTTGTGATAAATCCCTGGCATTACAGTTAATCCATCAAAGAGTTTTTGCTTCATGAATTATAAAGTTGCCCTTTAGAAAGATTTAGATTTATAACTTCACAACTGTGTGTGAAGTGACAGTCTGCTTGCTTCCTTGTCAGTCCTGGGGTACACTTTTGTGGTTGTGGTTGTGGTTGTGGGACTGAACCCAGGGCCTTTGTACCAAGTAGCAGCAGGGAGGCTAACTGTAAGAGATACTTGCTTTTGCTAAATTTGAGATTTAGAGTGTCTTTGAACCCTACCAGCGCAAGGTCCTGAGTTCGATTCCTAGTACTGGGGAAAAAACCTTTTAAAAAAATCAAGGTCCTGAGTTCAATCCGAGGTACAAAAATTTTTTTTAAATAATAAAAAGAGCAGTGTCTAAAATTACAACACAACGTTTGCAACCCTTCCATTTTCATCTCTGTCAGGACACTTAAGTGTAAGAGATACTTGCTTTTGCTAAATTTGAGATTTAGAGTGTCTTTGAACCCTACCAGCGCAAGGTCCTGAGTTCGATTCCTAGTACTGGGGAAAAAACCTTTTAAAAAAATTTTTAACATGCAGTTTATGTTTAGATCACCCTTTGTAGTTGGAAACAGTTCCACTTGAAATATGGGAGACAATAGCCATTTGAAATCTCGTGTAGGTGTGAATGGAGTCAACAAAAAAAGAGCCACATCAGTTACAGTACTTACGTAGAATCTTTTCTTGATATTATTGGAAAATGGATCTTGTGAGACAAAAGCATAACATGTGATTGTGATGAAATGTTCAGCCTGACCGAAACATGACCCCTGTTTGACAGGTCAAAGGTATTCATCGATCCCATTTACCAGACGTGGGAGGACATGAGTGCTGAAGAGCTTCAGGAGCTTAAGAAGCCTGTTAAAAAGGTAAATGTATGGGCCTGGGGATTTAGCTCAGTGGTGCCGCCACCTGCCTCACAAGCGCAAGGTCCCGAGTTCAATCCCCAGGACAAAAAATAAATAAATAAAAAGGAAATGTATGAATCTGGACCCCCTTAGAGTCTTGTGGAGACAGGCCACAGTCATGTGATCAGTCGCAGTGTTACGCTTTATTAGTGCTGTGTTCATTTTACCTTTGCACAAGCCCAGACCCGACTTAATGTTCTTTTTGTTGTTGTTTTGGTGCTAGGATGGAAGCCAGGGCCTTGTGTATGCTGCAGTGCTCTACCGCTGAGCTGCCCCTTCCCCTGCCCTGTCTCCTTTGCTTCATAAGTAATCTTTGGGAAGCTTAATTTGTTTTTGTCTTTATATCTTGCATCTCAGGGATCAGGCATTCAGTCTGATTAGATACAAAGGCTATAACACTGAGCAAGAATGCCATGTTATGTTATGTGCCATCATAGAGATTAAAATGTTTGAAAATCAATCTTTAAACAAAATAATTTAAGGTGTGGTGAGCAATTTGGGTAATTTGTAATAACGAACTAAGTATCAAAGGAAATTTTTGAAATTAAGATATTTTATCTTCCTTCATCTTTATAGAAATAGCACATTCCTGCCAGGCGTGGTGGCACATGCCTATAATCCCAGTGTTCAGGAGGCTGAGACAGGAGGATTGCCGCAAGTTCTAGAACAGTCTCGAGCACAGTGAGTTCAGGGCCAGCTTGAACTACATAGTGAGACCCTGTTTCAAAAAACAAAAAACAACTAGCCTATTCCTGTGGGAAGGATTTTTTGGTTTTGAGATGAGGTCTGTTGTGTTGTCCAGGCTGGTGTTAAACTCCTCAAATAATCCTCCTGCCTCAGCCTCCCAAGTAGTTGGAATTCGAGTGCATACCACTGTGCCTACCAAGAAAGGAATTCTTGAAAGCTTTCAAACCATTGTCTGTGGTCTTATTGGTAATCTGGATTTTGTATCCTAGGAGGTGATAGAGGATGAAGATGATGACTTTTTGAAAGGCGAAGTGCCTCAGAACGATGCTGTGATTGGAATCACACCAAGCTCCTTTGAAACACATTTCCGAAGCCCTTCCAGTAGCGTGGGCTCCCCACCTGTGGTGTACATGCCCGGCCAGTCCCCGCTTATCTCAGGAATTTGTGATTGAGGAGCTTTGCTCTTCCTGGTGTGGCCTTCAGTGCCCAGCCCCGTACAGTTGTGGCACTGCTTGGACTGCAGATGCTGTATGTCCCATTTAGACTTCACCTGCCGTCCGATAGACACTTTTTTTGTTTTGTTTTCTTTTTTATGCTCCCCTTATGGAAAAAAGGAAAAGATTGTCATGTGCAATATTTTATAGAGGGTTTATGATAAATGTCAAAGACTGCTTATTAGTTTAATGTGTATCTTTTTTTAATGTCATTGTAGAATTTTAAATATCAGCACTAGCCCATTTTAATAGATGGCCTTTTTTAACATAGGTCCTTTTTAGAGCCATGGTCACAAAGACTTTCTTGGTCTGATTTCAGTGAACAGTCCTCTAGGATAAATCCTCTATTTAAAAACTAGAATGTTTATTTTGGCTGTGTTTACTTTCTGTTGTAACTGTATTTGTGTGGTGGGACATACTGAGTTCAGAGAAGATGAAGGAAAGTGGGGACATGGCGGGGCTGTGCTGAGAGGCTACTTGTTTGAGCTGACATTGATGAAGCTCTCTAGGGACTTGCGAGGACCGTCAATGACAGGAGGGAAGAGAGAAGGCATTTATGGAAACAGGATTGGACAGATAGCGTACTTACTTAACTCAGTGTAAAAATGGATTTGGAAGAAAAGCGGAGGTCAGATAAATGTAATTTGTGTCGACAAAGTGGGTTTGTACAACAAACAAGTTTTTTTACAACAAACCAACCACAGCTTTATCCTGGCTCCCAAGCCTGTTAGAATTGAATCTGCCAACTTGCACCAGTTACATTGGTTTTGACCAGTATCATTTGGTTATTTTGAAATGTTTCTTGATTATTTGGTGGGGTGGTTGCTGTCATCAGTAGGCCAAAGTTACTCCTGCTGACCCCTCTAATGGCTCTGTGCATCCTCAATTCACCCTGATGAAATCCTTCTGGAGCAAGTCTCCATATTTTTATAAGTAAACCCCGAGAGAGGAGTATTGCCCTTGCTTTTAGCAACTTTGTGCAAGCGCTTCTGGAGTCATTTTAAACCTCAAGTATGTTTCCTTTCGTTCCTTGTGCGTATACTCTGTGTATTTGTGAAGATGATCATCTTTAAGCATATTTATTTATCTGCCATGTCTATTTATTTGAAGGCAAGCAGTATTTTCTTGATCACAAAGATTATGTAATGAAATATTACATCTTTCCTAGGGCTTCTGTATATACTCTTATGTAATCATATTGATGGCAATGTAGAGTTTGAATTTCAGTCTGTAAATAATCTTGGGATAAGGAAATTTTTAAGATTTTGGGTGCTCTCTGGCAGCACATATTCCAGTAGGTTTTAGATATTGGTGATTTTTCTTTAGGTGACTTGTTTCAAAGTCATTTGAGAACCTTTAAAGTTCTCTGTGTGTTTTAACTGCTGATAAAAACATGGATTTTTGTATATTGGATAAAATAGGTAAATGATATTGTATCCACAGAAATTAGCAGGAAGTAGGTAGGGCCTTTGTGGTTTGGGAAGTAGTTATATATGGAAGAATATATTTATTTACACATGTCTTAATTTTAAAGGGGATTGAAGAAAATATCCATTGTGAAAAATAAAACAATATGGTTAATGTGGAACTTTTATTGTTACATCAATAAAGAGGGGAACCTTAATAAAAACTCCTTACATTCTTTTGCTATGTGTGCGTGTGACTGATCTTTTTTTTAATGTTAGAAAACTGCTTCCGAGTCCTCACTGTTAAAGTAGGGACTGTTACATTGTATACTTTGGGAGTGTTGAGAAATAAACTGCACTCTGTGATGAGGATGGCTTCCGTGTGTGTTATGTGAAGGGTCCATGGCTTTTCCTGAACACAGCCAGCCAGGAATCACAGGCCTGAACAGGTACAAGAAAACAAACAGCTGTCCAAAGAAAATGACATGCTTTGAACGAACATCTGTAGAAAAATAGTGAAACATCTTTGAAATTACATGAACATAATGGCATTGGGGGTAGGCAGGCAAGATGCTTTTCTTGGTATCTGGCCAGGTAATTTATTTAATCCAGGACCTAGACATAATATAGAACAGTGAATTTGACCCTTTTGGAGCTTTCAGTGATAACAGATAGGCTGTGGCATGTGTGCCATAGGTTCACCGCTACTGGTCTAGAGACTCAAACCTGAAGTTACTTGAAAAAAATCATGTAGGAATTAAAAACCATTTTGTTTTTCTGAGATAGGTCTCACTATGTAGCCCAGGCTAGTCTTGAACTTGTGCTTTCCAGGATCCTCCTGCTTGAACCTCCCCAGGGCTGGGATTACAGGATAGTGCACATGCTCATCAGGCTTGGAGAGATGGTAACTTGGTCAGGGTTACACAGCTGATAATTGATCACTGAATTCAAACTGTTCTTCGCCCAGATATTCCTACTTGGGATTTACTTAACTTTACCAGCATTACAAGTTGCTTATAGCCCTCTTGTCTAGGAATATATTAAAATGACAGCACTAGCTTTGTGAGCAAAGCTGTTTAATCTTAGCTCTACCACTTGAAAGTATTATTATTATATCTGGGCAAGTTAAGGCCTAGTAACAGTGGTTGATATTGACCCCTGTGTTTGGGTGCATGGGTGTATTAAGAAACTGAGTAAACGGGCTGGGGCCACTCATGAGTGTCTCCTACTGTCAGTTCTGTGATTATTAGTATTTTTGTTTAATGGGGCTTGTAAACTAAGGGAGGATTGGTTGTAGCCCAAGAGTCCCTAGCCCATTTTTATTGTGTCCATGGACGTCTAAGCACCATGTTTTACTGATGATTTTGTGTGCCTGTGTGTTACTGATGACTCAACCCAAGGGTTTGCAATTGACTTTCGTACCCAGACCTTTTAATTGGATTGCTAAATTGCCAAGGCTGGGCTTGAACTTGTGATACTCCTGCCTCAACCACCCAATGGGCTGGAGTTTCAGGTAAGCGCCAGAACCAGTTTACTGATGTGTAGGATTAGCACAGTATGGATCTGTTTTCTCAGTTTATGTCACCTTAGCATCATGGCACATGCCCATAATCCCAACATTCCAGAGGCTGAGGCTGGAGGATCGCCGCGAGTTTGAGGCCAGCCTGAATTACATAGCAAGACTGCCTCAAAAATAAACATGGTATCAGTAAATTACTTGTGTATGATCCAATAGGGTAGCACAGCAGACACTCAAAGCTTGAGCAAGAGCAAAGTCATGAACCAGAGAGTGGGGCAGGGACCTGAAGGGAAGCTGGCAACCCAAAACCCGTACTCAGGCCAGGCTGCACTCCCTGTGAAAATTGAGGCAAGGGTGTCACTGCTGCTACTCCTACTTCTCCCTGTTACCCTCTCCTTACGCACACGTTTGCAAGACTACATTTCCCAGCGCCCCTTGCGGAGGAGGCCGGCCGGGGCCCGCTTCCGGCTCCAATTCCGCTTTGGACCACACTTCCCATGAGGCCTTGCGCCCCGTCCTGCTTTTCCCGGGCCTGTCTCCGCGACACTACTTCGGTCCCAACTACACTTCCCAGCAACATCGGCGGCGGGGCGGGACGGACAGGACGGGGCTGTCCAAGTCGGGGGCGCCGCCGCCGCCTCCCAGTGCCTGTCCCGTTTCTTCTTCCGCTATGCCGCTGCTCGTGGACGGGCGGCGAGTGCGGCTGCCGCAGTCCGCCGGGGAGCTCGTTCGAGCGCACCCGTCTCTGCAGGTGAGTGGGCTCCAGGCCAAATACCAACTTTCTACTATTGGTGCTACACTGTTACTTCTCACAGCTGAAAAACTGTCACCTGTTCCTACTTTTGGGCTTCTCTATGAGATCACTGGATGGGAACCTCCAAAAGTTTCAATACTAGCAAATACACCAGGGGTTTATGCATATACAGGCTCATTTACCTTGAGGTTGTCTGGCAGCTCAGCCCTGCCAGCATACCCAGGGTTCATGGTGATGAAGACGGCACAGGTTGGGTTCAGAGAGAGTTCAGTACCTTCAAAGATGAATGTCTTCAGCTTCCAGACAATGGCTTGTTGAATACTGAGTATCTGCTGGGCTACCACAGATAGCACCTCTACCTGCAGTGAGAAGCCCAGCTGGTGTGAGCTTGCCAGGTTCCCCTTGCTCAGCAAAGAAAGAATCCAAACACCTGAGAACCCAGACCTCCATGACTAAAAGTAGGAACACAAGTTCTTGGCAAAGAAAAGGAAAATTGGTGTGTGTGTGTATGTGTGTGTGTTAGTTTATAATATATGGAATCTTTGTTTCAACAGTGGGTATAGTATTTGACATATAAAAGGAATTCTGTGTTCATGTATTCAAATCTCATATTTACATTTATTTATCTCCATATTCTGCCCGAATAGAATTAATCACTCACCCTTTCATGGTATTTCTTGTAGCACTATCACAGACTTCTATTACGTTCTATTTGCTTCATTTAGTTTTTATTCCTTTTACTAGATTGGAGCAATCTAGAGGGCAAGATCACTTCTTCCTCATCTTTGTATCACAAACAGATGCAAAGTTGCTACTATACAGTAGTTGCTCAATAAACTTTGGAATAAGTCAGAAAATGAATTAATGTGATTGGGAGGGAGAAATCTATGTATAAAATATGCATTCTGGCCCCTTGTGGATGTTTATGTTTAGTTCATTAAGCATCTACTGTTATGTAGGGACTACAGAGGAGACATAGGTCCTATCATTAAGGATCTGAGAGGCCAGAAAAAGGCCATTCCTTCTCTGTCCCCGCTGTTCAGCAGCATAGAAGCAGTTACCTCAATCCGGTTGAACTCATCAAAACAGGCCCATGCTCCAGCCTGAGCCAGCCCCTTGAAGAACTTCCCCATGGCCTTGTAATCCAAACCATCTGAGCAGTTGAAGACCACACACTAGGAAGAAGGAAGATGTGCCCACCATTCAGGATGGATTCCATCACCTTTGAGTCACCCAGCACCACTGAACAGGGGTGGGGCTCTTCTCTTCTAATAATGAACAAGCAGGGGCTCCTCCACTCCTCCTGTTACACTAAATCATCCTGAAACTCACACTCAGTTTCCTGAACTGAGGTCCAAAGAGGGGTGGGAAGAGAAGGTAGCAATGAGTGACATTTCCCCACCTGCTTAGCCAAAGCTTTGGCCAGGTCTTTGGTGGTCTCTGTCTTGCCTGTTCCAGCTGGGCCCTCTGGAGCTCCCCCAAGGTTCAGCTTCAAAGCACCCATCAGTGTCCTAAGGGGAAGACAATAGGATTTCGTGCCCAGGTCATGAGGTGCAGGAAAGAAACCGGCTTTTCATTGATTTTGATTCATACATATAATTTTAAAATTCTCTCTGATTATACAACCAATAAATATATCATCTTTGAAAAAAATCCTGTTTTACATAGTGCTTTAAACTTAGAGCCTGACACTGTGCTTGATACCTGGGAAGCACCATAAAATGTTTGTTTGAATGATCAAATAAATAAAGGAATACATACATAAATGAACCAAACAAACATGAAAATACTTATAAACCCTACATTCCAAAGATCACCAGTGCTAAAGGAATAGTAAAAATAAATATATTTCTACCACCCAATTATGACCTCTTGAGTTCAGGAACCGTATTTGACTCAATTCCATATCCTCAGCAAATGAATACAGTGCCTGACATGTGGCAGGAACAAGATAAATCTCAGAAATTAATGATGTTGGTACATAACTGGTTCCATAGCCACTGGTATGACTTATAATTTCAGCTAACCCACGAGCTGGACTGCTGAATGTCTTCCCCAAATATAATTGGATTTAAGGGCCCTTGATATTATGTATGGTGCACAGGGAAGTTCAAGACATGGTTATTCACTAGGACTGTAACTAACAAAGTGTGTTGGTATTTGGGATTTTGATTAAATAAATAAATTATAGCTTCTTTTGCCACCAGGTGGCATAAGGAATAGTTAACTATGTGAGATGATGGATATGTTAATTTCTTCCACTCCAGTAATAATTTTACTATATATGTAGCCTTACTATTAATGTTGAATATAGTAAATATACTTACAATTTATTTTGAAAAATAAATGATTAAATAATGACTAGAATAAATTGAATGAACAGAAATCACAGAACTAGGAAACAAATGATTGAGGATATTGAAAGGATAAAATGTTCCTAGGTATTGTTTTTATAATATGAAATATAAAATCAAAGAAAATCTGAACATCACAGCATGGACAAGTTCATAGAATACTGGTTTCTAATGTAAGGAATTCCAAGAAAAGTGGCTCTGCTGAATGCAGAATGACCATCTCTCTTCATGGGACATGGTGAGAGCTTAGAGTCCCCTCTTCTGGCCTGTGCCATTGGTCTGCCTTGTCTGTTTCTTGCCCATGGGGTCTTCAGGCACCATCTTGATTTCTGCCATTGTGGAAGTTTCTAATAAGTACCATGTCATGCACCAGTGTTCTGTACTAAGACTCCTCCTAGGTTCTCATTTCTAGCCAGATGGGCTAGTTTCCAGGCCTCTCTTTGGGACTATGGTGACTAAAGGGAAAATTCTGAAATCTGAGAATCTGAAATGTAGAGGAAACAAGCCCAAAACACCTGAAGAAACCTTCCTTCCCAGAGTCTTTTCCCTCTGAAGGTCTCTGTCCACCCCTTATGCGAGGGAGCCCCAGAGTTTACCTGTAGCAGCGGTCAGTGAGGGGTGTGATCACCAGCCGTGGGGAGTTTCCCAGGTACTCGTACCCATACAAGGCTTCTGTGGTGATCATGTGAACCTGCACATCCTTTGCTTCCCAGTAGTAGCGCAGTTGTGAGATCCACTGGAAATCATTCAGGTCAGAGACCTTATCCTCAGCTAACTTGGCCACCACATCCCGGGCTATAGGGATACAGATCAGAAACACATACACAGAACCATCAGAATTCCCCTTCTCCATGGGTTCCTCAGCTAGAAGAGGATGTTATCAAGACTATCTCTCATTCAGTTTCAGGCTTTAGGAGCCTCCTCCCATCCTAACCTGCAGGCAGCTATATTGCTCAGAAGTTTGTCTTTGCTGAGCAGAAGATCTGCTGCAGGCTTCTCTCAGAAAACAAAGTAGAGGTAGGAAATGTGCATCCTCTGAAGTCACACTGCCTTGGTCCACACTCTGGCTCCACCATGAACTTGACTATGTGACTTGGGGCAAGTTATTCAAGCCGTCTGTCCCTCAATTGCATAATGTGTAAAATGGGAACAACACAATACCTACCTTTTATGATTATTTTGAAAACTAACTGTAAAATGTAAATATATATATATACATACAGAGAGAGACTATGTTCAGCATGTAAAAACCTTATATAAGTATAATTAATAGCTGTTGTTATTCCTCAATTTTTGGAGGATTAGCCCTGAGGACTTCTTCTTGGCCATGTTCCAGGCTTCTAGGATCTCTTGGGACAGTGGTGGCAAATCTGTGGCACAAGTGCTGCAATGGGCTGTTTGTATCACTGAAAGCTCCGGAAGGTTCGCCATCACTGTTTTAGGAGAATGCAGTCTGCTGGATCTAGCTAGCTGGAAAGATGTCCCATGTGTCTGTGGTTACGTGTACTCTTTCCACCTGGGGGACTGAGGAACCGGATGGGAGACACAGTCCCAGGTTTTCTCCTTTCTCTCATAGGATTGTGAAACTAATTTAATTTTCTCAGTGACAGGAGTTGTGAAGTTGAAGAGTGGATATAGGTTTGTAAGATCATTAATTATGTTTTAAGTAAGCATTACTGAGATCTCCAAGCTAGTACAGTAGGCTTGAAATTAGGATCTTAGAAATGTACCTCTGCAAAGGCTTGCTTATGCAGGTCTAATGCCTCTCTGGGAGCACAGTTGTATTTATCATTGTAAAATCCGAAACTCTGTAGAGAAGATTCCCCAAAGAAGATTATTGCCACAGCTCTTCCTTCCTGAGGAATTTAATTCCTTCTCAGGTTCTTGAGAGAACCAAGAGGGTCTGTATGACAGTTCTCAGAGGAAAGTGAATCTCAAGAGAATGGAGTGGGATTACCTTTACCAAGCAGTGTGCATGTGTGTGTGTATGTGTGTGCATGCACATGTGTGTGCATGCATACTTGTGTTTGGGAATCCAACCAGTCTCCAGTCTGAGGTAGCCTAGGCAGTTACCACACCTGCCTGCATGCGTTATCCCTACAGCTTGGTATGTGGCTGTGCAAGGGGCACATTCTCTTCCCTGTCTCTCTCCTTTCCTCTCTCCTCTATCTTCCCTCTCTGTCTGCATTTATGCTAGTCTATCTGAGTGAAATCAGACTGAAATGAGCATCAGCCCTGTGGGAATTAGATGCTGTGACATGCCAAAGAAGCTGGTCTGCATGCGTTATCCCTACAGCTTGGTATGTGGCTGTGCAAGGGGCACATTCTCTTCCCTGTCTCTCTCCTTTCCTCTCTCCTCTATCTTCCCTCTCTGTCTGCATTTATGCTAGTCTATCTGAGTGAAATCAGACTGAAATGAGCATCAGCCCTGTGGGAATTAGATGCTGTGACATGCCAATAAGAAGCTGGGTGTGTGAGCAAGAGACGCTGTTCCTAGGCAACCTGTCTAGTCCAGCCCTAGTTTCCTTGGTGATAATGGAGAGGGTGTGGAGGTGGTTTTTTTATATAATGACATCAGTTTTTCCCCTCCTTTTTCTCCTCTTCCTTTTTAAAGGAAAAGCTGGAAAGAATCAATTGATACTACCCCCTCCCTGCCTTGTTGCCCATTTCCAGTTGCTTAGATTTCGAATCTGACAGAGAAGCCTCTGCTATTTACTGTGTGCCTCTCAGCAAGCTATTTACCTCTCTAAGCATCAGGTTCTTCATCTGTGAAATGTATACGAAAATAAGACAATGCAATTACTTAGCACAAAGCTTGGTACCTAGTGAGAATTCAAAAATGTGAGCAAAGATTGGGCCAAGGAGATCATTTACCAAAGTGGTGACTCAGAATGAATTTATCCATCACAGTCTTAGCAAGAACCTTGTTTGGAAGGTTCCTGGAGCAGGGTTGGGAATAAGAGGGAAACTAAGATGGGGATACATGAAGTCCATTAGCCTTGGCTTTGCTCCTTATGCCCTCAAGTTACTCAGTTGGAGAAATGCTCCCTGACAGAGAAGGAAACCCTGAATCACTCCGTTCAGAAGACCTGAGAGGTGAGCCTGGCTGCCATTCCTGGAGAGTCAGTCACTCTAGGGAAGACTCCTTGCTCACCATGGACATCAATGACTGTGAGGGCCCCAAGAGTAAGTCGAGCTCCGCTGCTCAGCTTCCCGCGCACCAGCTCGACAATCTGGGCAATCTGCTCATTGCTCTTTTTCACGAAATCCTGATGAGGGAACAGAGGAGACAACTGGTTAAACTGTGTTTTCTCCTGATAATCCTTACTCCAGTGACTGACAGCATTAAGCATCCAGTGGCCCAAGCGAGGGTCCTGACTGTCATCCTCAAACCATCCTTTCCCTCACCTCCAGTCAGAGCCTCGAGATGAATCCTCCATCCATCATGTTAATCAAAAGAGGTCAGATTTCAAAGGCTACACTCTGTGATTTTTACTTTGATAAAACTGTGGAAAAGACAAAATGATAGAGGCAGGAAAGTGATAGGCAACTGCCACAGGTTTGGCTTAGGTGCCAGCTGACTACAAAGGGCATGAGGACATTTCTGTGGGTTGCAAAAAGATTCAGTATCTTGATGGTGATGATGGTGGAATAAATACATACAGAACTAAGATCTGTGGGCTTAAGTGCCTGAATTTTACTGTACACGAATTATACAATGAACTGGAACAAACCAAGAAAAAACCCTGAAACTTTTTTTTTTAGACTGAGAGACAAAGAAGTATAAAAACAAAATGCAACATGTAATTCTGAACTAGACTGTGGGCCAGGAAAATATAGATATTTAGTGGGGACAACTGGATAGATTTAAATTAATCAATTTAAAGGGTTAACAGATTATGTAGCACTTTATGAATGTTGATTTCCTGATTTGCATTATTTTTCTATGGTTATGTAAAATGCTAACATTGGGGGAGTCTGGATGAAGAGTATAAGGGAATTCTTAGTATTATTTTTGCAAAATTCCTTGTAAGCCTGAAACAATTTAAAAATGAGGTGAAAGATAAAAATGATTTTGTTAAAGGAAAAGAATTATACCATGTTATATTCAAATTCCGTCTTCCATACTTTCTAGCTACCTAGTTCTGGGCAAATAGTTTTAAGTCTCTGAGTCACAGTCTCCTGTTTTGTCAAATCTAGATAATTACAGCTACTTCTGTAAACTGTTTTGAAGATTTATGTGAGAGAGATAATGTATGTGAAGTATTTGGCACAGTAATCAGCAGTAGTTGTTATTAATAATAAAGTTCCTGGAACACAGCAAAAAGAGGCTTCCAGTGCCTTCCCGTTATCCTTGGGCTAACTCTAAACCTCTTGGTGATGGTGTTGCTCTGCTCTCTTAACCTTGCCATTCCAGTCATTCTAGAGCCAAGTGCCCTCAGTTACTGGACTTTGCCACGCTGTCTTTCCTTTTACCTTTCTTCCCATTCATTCCCCTTCCCTTCCTTTGCCTTTGTGGTGCTGGGAATGGAACCCCAAGCTATACCTTCAGCTCACCGTGCTTTTCATCTTCAGAGTCGTGTACATTCCACCTCCTCTCTCGGAAACACTCCTCCTACTGTTCTCTGGTTAGCCAATCCCTACTCACATTTTAAGTCTCTTCTTAGACACTACTTTTCTGGGGAGTCTTCCCTAGTCCCAGCCCCACTGTCATGTCCCTCCAGCACCTCCACACTCCCCGAATCTCTGTTCTTTCCTTATCACAGTTCTACGTAATTTTTTTTATCTCCCTCACTAGAATATAAGTCCACAAGAATAGGTACAATATCCATTTCATTTGCCTCCAATTTCCTTTGCCTAGTAGTACAGTAACCTCAACACAAAGCAGATGCCAAACAAAGGTTGGTTAAATGAATAATGAATGGGTGAATATATTATTCTGTGCTAACACTTGATTCCTTAAGAATACCAAGGCACATTATTCAGCATGAGTGGACTCCAAGGTTTGTATGTATGATGGGAAACATTTTCCCTGCGTACAGGTAGGAAAAGTAGGAGATGAAGTTACAAAGTCAGAAGTTTTTAGACGTTTGGACTGCCATACATTTTGCAGTTTGCAGTTTGCAAATGTATGTGCAATATATCTACTAGGAATTATCAATACAGACTCTTCATAAATTTGAAACTTGGTCAAGTGCGGATATTCTCATTTTAATGTATACAGCCAAATGTAGTAAAATATATTCTGGTCCTCAGCCAACGCTCTAGAAAGGAATAAAAGGGACTGATGAAACAATCATAGGATATTACATCATGGCAGAAAAATTGAGATGGAGTTACCATTCATTCATTAATAAATATTTATTAAGTACCTACTATGTACTTGGCAGTGCATTATACCCTGGAGATGTAACAGTGAGCAGAAGAGATGAGGCCTCTTCTCCGCAGCATCTAAGGCCTAGCATTCAGACACTGAATAATTTCATCACACTTTTGTTTAATCCTTCCTCCATAGTATGATGTGATGTGATAATTTCTTGCATCTCACAGACAAGGAGACTGAGACTCAGGTTAAATAAGTTGCTCAAGGTTACACAGTTAGCAAGGAAATGTGTTAGGATTTGAACTCATATCCATCGAACTTTTGTACTCGTAAGCACTGGCATCAATTGACTCATTTATGCT